CAGATTTGCAGGTAATTAAATAGACAACTATGATCTACGTAAATATCAAAGGCAATAAAATTGATATCTAAGGATTTTCATAATTAATCGATGGCAATAAAATGAATAAAATAATCTTCATAGAAGATCTACATAATAACAAAATTGACTTTCTATTCTACTAATTAAATCTATCTAAAATTTTACCTGTCACATGATTATACTTATAATTATTTTTTAAAATATTTATTTTCAATAAAAAAATTAAATTAATATTAGAAATTTTATACATAAAATAATATGTATTTAATAAAAAGCTTATTTTTAATTCAGAAAAATTCAAAATTATGCTTTAAAAAGCTAAACTGTTATTAAATAGTTTTTTTAACTAATTAGTAGTCAAAACTAATTTATAAGCCAAAAGCTATATTATTAACAAAAAAAATAAAAAAAAATTGATTTTATTTTGTTATTTTCTTGTAAAACTTAATAATAAGTTTATTAATAGAGTTAAAATAAAAGTTAGTCTTTTATTAGACTAGTCTGAAGTATTTTCATTAATGATAAAAACTTAGCTAATACAGATTTAATAGTAAGATGTAAAACTATTGTAAGATAAAAATTTTAATATACAGAAATTCATATAGTGATAATAGAAAAATTTTTATTGAAAAGATTTTATTAAACAATATAGGTATATGGATATTTTATTAATTTTTATAATTTGTAAATAATTAGCTAACATGTATAACTTATTTATATATAAGAAATCTAGTTATTCTAAATATGGATAATTTTTATAATATCTATAAGTAATGTCATAATAATTTAATGCCTATATATAAAGTCTTTTATTTATTATAATACTTCTAAAAGCCTTATCAAAAATAGCTTCTATTTCATTTTACAATCCTAATTAAGAAGTAAGTGAAGGAAATATTTATAATCAAAGAAGTATTAATAAAAATATTATTATATAAAATGCTCACATATCTTTCTTTTCTTATTTATAGTTTAGCTGTATAGAATAAAAATAAGTATTTACTGATTTGATACTTCTATTAGCAATATATAATAAATAAGTTGAGCATTTTTTAATTTATAATGATGATAATAGAATTAAATAATGCTAAATCAATTAAAGTATAAAGAATACAAATATAGTTAATTTAAAAGAAGATTCTCTTTATTTTACTAGTAATTATATAAAAGCTATTAAATATATAATAAATATTTTTAAAATAAGAGATTATATAGAGATGTAAATATTAATTACACATATAGACTACTCTGAATAACTTTATATATGCTACTATTAACTATCACATCAAAGTTAGTGATTTTTTTAGAATATTAAAACAACTTTTACATATTATTCTAATAATTAATCTTTTATACGTATCCTTAAATAAATTTATAAAACTGTATTTCTTATTAATTATAAGTTTTTTAATAAATTTTTTCCTAAAAATATTGATAAAAAAGCTAAAATCTTATAAATTAGTTTGATACTTGAACTTATATTTTAAGGTTGGTTTCATATACATTTAATTATTCTACAAAAATTTGAATAATCTAAAGATCTAAAAATTTGATATTTCATTAATTTATTAGATAATATCTTTTTATTAGTTTTAGATTTCTATTCTATTATATTTTATAATGAAAATTGAAAGGCATATAAAGAAGCAATAATTCGTATTTGGATTATTTTTTTCAATATAATTGTAAACACTATAAAAAATTACCATTAGCATTTTAAATGATAATTTCTATTAGTCTAGTACTAATCATTCTATTTTACAAGTTCTTTCAGATTTTTTTCACATTTTTAATGATTATTATGTAAAAAAATTTTTATAGTTTAATTTGAAGACAAATACAGAAATCAAATACAGTAGAATAAATTATAAGTAATCAATCAGATATGTAATAGCAACTCTTTTATAAGTATATTTATTAAGAATTATAATATTAGATATTTAGTAAAATAACTAGAATATTTTGAAAATTAATTATGCTTTTTCTGTTAAATTTTTACAAGTATTTATCAAAATCTCAGTAAATCAAAAGTTATTTCATCTGATGCATATTCAAATCTTAAAGTATATAAATTTCTAATTCTCATAGTTTAAGTTGATATTAAAATATTGATAATATCCTAGAATATCCTCTCTGAGAAGATAGGTATTTGATTTAAAAAGTTGTATAAATTCATATGAGATAGATTTAATTTGTAAACATGCTTATAATTTTGAATATTATTATTTAAATTAGGAAGTTAAAATCAATATTATACTAATTATCTTGTAAATGGAATTGAAAAAAATTATTAGAATTATTAGAAGTCTCTGACTTCATTTAACAAAATGCTCACAGATAAGGGTAAAAATAAATTGAATATTATTGAACCTGTTGATGATACTAATATTAGTAACAAAGATTTTTCTTTAGATAATAATATAGATTTACTTTTTGAAAGGGTTATATGTATGATTTAGAAAAAGTATTATCTATAAAATGTAAGCAAAAAGATGTAAATAATGATTTTAGTTTAATAGTTTAATATACTTTATAAATGAATAATAAAAAAATTCAATTTTATAAAATTCTCTTTATTAAATATTTTTTCATTTAGGCTATATATCACACTAAATGTTTTTGATTAACTAAATATCTTTAGATAAGATATTTTTTCTTTTAATTAATTATTTTCAATTTGATTAAATGTTAAATCATGTAATATTATCAGAAACTACTAAGTTACTATAGAATAAGTCCTATCATAATCTTTAGATATGAGTAAAAAACTTTAACAATTTGTAAGAATAATAAACACTTTGATATGTTGAAGGATTTTAATATAAGTTTAGCTTAGAAAAAGATTCCTTTATTGTAAAGATTGTATTTTTCTTGAGATTTTGTGATACATAATTAGCCAATCATAATGATTTTTAACTCACGCGACTTCGTGTTTTATAATAAATACACTCGCCTCGCGAAAATTTCCATCTTTTTTCTCACTTTCTATTTTTTGAAATTAAAAGTGCTAGACATCACTTTTACATACTCAAATCATCAAAAAAAAATTATTATTTCACAAATTTACTTTTGTTCAGCAATGTCTGTAAACCAGATACACGAGTATTTCAATCGCGAACCCGAGAATTGGAATATCTTGACATTTTTAGAAGAATGTAAGCTAGCATTATTCAAGCAAAAAGTAGAGTCGTACGTTACGTCCCTCGAGTTCATTATTAAAACTCAAAAAGGTCCAAAGCGTGAACGGGCGCATAAGTTACTTTATCAATACAAACAGGCGAGTTTATTTTTTTTTTACTTTTTTTTTTTTAGATAATTTTGAGACAAGCTACAAAGCAGAGTTGGGACGCTTGAGACTTGAGTCGATTTAAAATCGGGTAATCAAGAATATCTATCGCTGACACAATATGTAATATGTATTTATTAGGGTACTGATTATGCTAATGCTCGAAAGTGGAAGAAGGAAGCTAAACCGGTCAATGGACCTTCGGTCCACTTCCACAAAATTACAGGTAGCTCCGTGATCACAATCAACAATGGGTTATTGGACGTGGAAGAAGAAATTCCTCCGTTGAAAAATATTGTAAAATGCGTACCACCCACATCAGAGAAGTGGGCACAGTTGCCATCTGGGCAAGGTGTTAAAGACATTTTTAGTAAAAATGTTTCGCAACTTGCAAAATCTACAAAGGACAAAGAAACATTGACAGCAATAGAAAAGGCAACATTAAGATATTCTGTGTCGAGAATAATAGACCTTTCAGCTCACATGCAGGATTGGTTTTCTGATGAGGAACTTGAATTCATGAAAGAAGATTACAAAACCATCCTAAAAGTTCCCGACTTGGAAGAAGAAGTTAATATTTTTATTACAGAAGTTGAAAAGGTAACTAATGTATAGAGATATATTAATCTATATAGTTTATTTACACTCTTCGTTTATGCTTAGATGGTTTGGAACGATCCAAATAAGGCGTATAAGTTTTGTATGGAAAGACAAATAAACTCAGAGGTCAATACGTGCATATATAAAATTAGTAAAATTTATGGTGACTTGTAAGTACTTTTTTCTTTATTTTCATTTAACTTTGTCCTGGTTTGTCTTCTAATTATTATATAGTCTATATGAGGTTAAAGATGGTACGGATATGCTGGATAGTGGGGATGAAACTCACACTGAAGTTGACATTATCGTGAAGGCAACTTCGTATATTGTGAAAGCCTTGATCAAAGGCCTCAAAATATATTATAAATGGTAAGTAAAATCATGCATGCTCTCTCTATTATTTATTTTAAGCCAGACTATTATACTCATGAATTACATTTAGGGGTGAATCGTTTTGCCCTTTGAGCAGATCAGCAAATTTTGAAAGAGTGCCAATGTGTGATGTTCGATTTTTGAGTTCCTCGAGTGTTGATCTTGGAGAATGGGAGTTCGCCGTGCATGCTAGTGCTACAAAATCGATTGGAGATCGCTGTCGATCCGCGAGAGTTAATCAATCCATATTAAATGGAATATTAAATTTGAACTTAACGGATAACCAAGCGAAAATTGCAAAAGTGCCATTTCTACAAATTGCTGGAACATATGGACAAATGTTGCTCGAAGATTTAGTAAATGGATTTTATTGCGTTTTTCCTGGTGCATCATTTGAATTGCCAACAAAATTATCTCAAATTCACAAGTTAAGGCAAACCGTTAAAATCTTTAAATATGTATTGGTAAGTTACTATTCATTGTATTTTTATTTTAGCATATAGGAAACTGATTGATAATATTTACACACAGGAAACATATGACGAAACTAGTAAAATTCTGGATGAACTTGATCACGGATAAGGATTTGCCTAGATGTTTGCTTGTGGTACTGACATCCTTAACAGCTTATGTATCTAAGTAAATAATAATCTCATGAGTAAAATTTTTTTATAACAGTTAAACTTAAATCTACATATTTATATATTGTTCAGAATACTTGTGATAATTACTAATTGAAAATTTTTGTATACTAAAAATTATAAACTAGATATTTAATAAAATACAAAACTTAATAAATTTTTGTATTCTGGATTTTTATTATATTTTTTTTACAATATAATACTTTATAAAAATTTTTATATTAAACAACTTTTTCAATTATTTTAGCTTCCAAATGCAAATTTATAATAAAAACCAAATATTATTTCAAATACTCAAATATTATTATTTTTAATATGCAAATAAAAACATTAATTTGAAAAGATTGTTAAATTAGTAAGATTGCATTATTATTATCTTTGTAAAAATTACATTATAAAAAATTTATACTTTATAGTTTGTATATTATTTATTTTTATAATAATTATATCATTACTTCATTACTATTCAAATTTTTTCTGTTATTTATAAATAAAAGTAATAATATAAATTAAAAGTTTATTTTTATATTTTTAAATATTATTAGTTCATTTTATTTGTTATTTTTTTTTCATGTTAATTATAGTTTTAAATAATTTATTCATTTCATTATTTAAATTATTAAAATTTGCAATTTATTTAGATTTAATAGAATTTATTAAATATTAAGCAGCTATTTTCTTATTAATTCTATATTTTACTTTTTCTGATTATTATTAAAAAAAACAATTTCATTCTTTAATTTGATTAAAAATTAACTAAGATTATAATTTTGATAATAAATAGATATCATATGGGTAAATTATTATTTAAAAAATAAAAGACTTTATTTTATAAAATAAAGAAAAAGCAGAAATTTTATAATCTTTTAATTTTATTTTAATAATAATTATTATTTTTTTATTTATATATATATTATGCCAATTCAATTATAAAATTAATAAAAAATATCACGCTTCATCAATTAGATTTTTTGGATCAATTACTAGAAAATTAGATTAAGAAATTCATTTCTGAAAGTTAATTAAACAATTTTCTTAATCTCTAATCTTAAATTTCATAAATAAATTTTGGGTTACTAGATGCAATATCATGTGTTTAATGCAATCTGATTCTGTAGATTCATTTTTATTTTATTTTATTAACATTTAAAAAATTTTTTAATTAAAAAAAGAATTTTAAAATTAATTAAATCATGATATAAAGTTAATAATAAATAAATTCAAAAAAAGTAAAATAATAATTCAAAAAAAATACAATTATTTAATTAAAAAAATTTAATATTAAAAAAAATAAATTAAAATATTTGCTAATTAAAATCATAAAATTATAAAATAAAAAAAATTGCAATTTAATTAAATAAATTCAATTATTTAAAAATTAATTAAAAATCATAATATATTAAAAATTAATTTTTAAATATATAATTAAATAAAATTTAATAATACAATTATTTAATTAGATATTAAAAAATAAATTAAATAAAATATTTGTTAATTAAAATCATTTTTTAAATTTATTATAATTTAAGATTAAAATCAATCAATTTAATTATTTAAATAAAAAAAATATAATTAAATTAAAAATAAAATTGTAAATATAATTTAAATAAAAAATTATAAATATAATTAAATTAAAATTAAACAAATCAAATATAAAAATAAAATAAATTAAAATTAATATATTTAAGAAAGTAAATTAAATTAATTAAAAAAAAAAAATTAATTAAATTAAATAAAATTTAAATAAATAAATTAAAATTAAATAAAATAAAATAAATCAATTATAAAAAAAGAATAAATCTAATCAAGTTAAAAAAATAAATTTGAAAAATATACCTAAATAAAATATATGAATTAATTCTGAATAGTTGTTATAATTATTAATTAAATAGTTTTTTAATTCATTTGGATGATTGTGAATCTAAAATTTTTTATAATAATTACATTTGGCTGAAAAATAATCAGCAGACTTGAAAGAGATTTTTTTAAAATATTTCTATATTTTCTTTAAATACAATCATTAGGTTTTCTTTTTTTATTTTATTAGAATTCATATTTAATTTTAAAACTTAATATGAAATTACAAAATAATTAAACATAAAATATGATATTATCAGTATATATTTAAAAAATTTAAAGAGAAAAATTGTATTATATATTTAAATGAAGAAATTACAAATTTATTATATCATATATAAATTCAAAATAAAGTTTTTGTTCTATTTTTGAACGTTTATATAATCAGTCAATCAGATTTTCATTAAACATATTATAAAAAATATAGTTAATTATTATTATATAATAATAAAACATATAAGTTTCTGTATATTATAATTTTGAATTTTAGTAAATATTGATTGAAAATCTAATATTTTACATTTAAATATAATAATTTAATATTACTTATCAATAATATTTTAATAATATTAATTCTGATATCAATTTACTTAATTTAATAAAAATAAAAAAAAAAGTTCTAATTAAATACAAATTAGAATAATAAATTTGAATTATTTTTGCAAATCTTTAGTTAAAAAATCATGAAATTTTACAAAAAAAATTGTTAATTATTCTTAAATTTAATTAGTGATAAATCTATATAAGTCTAATGATGACAAATTAGCGTCCAATTAGGTGCAAATAGTCATTATTATTATGATCTGATAGGATGCTGATTGGAGAATACTAGACTATATTATCAATTACTGATTGGAATCAGATGATGACTGCAATCAGCACGTAATAATATGGACTATTAAAATTAATTTATATGCTGATTACTAAAAATTGAATATTCTGAAAACACTATGATTAAAAAATATATCACAATCATATTAACAGTTAGTTTATTGAATTTTTATTAATCAGAATCCTAGTTGTAAATTAATTAATAGTTAGCATAGACAATTGAACTTAATTCTTGATCATAATGAAATATATTTTTCAAATTTATCATTACTATTTTAAAATGCCAGTTTGATAAAATTTTTATTATTTTATTATTTTTATTTTACAAATAATGCCACTATACTACTATTTGTACAATTTTACAATTATTAAATTTTGTTAATCAATAAATAACCAATGCTAACGCTATTAAACTACAGTAGTATCTCCTTCATTATCCTGTTCAGTAATTTATATTTCTTCTCTAATACTAGATTTTGCTACTGGCTTTTTCGCATTTTCTCTGAATTTTGCTATCGATTGTTGAGGTAGTTGTTGTTTTTGTATGTTCAGTCATTGAGTCTGTTTAATAAGCGTACTTAACGATAATTCTCTACAGGTATTTTGTATGGCCGATTTTAAGAAACCTTTGTAACCATTAATTGTCTATTTCAGTGCCTAGAATATTTTGATTGTTCTTTATTGTAATAATAATAGTTATTATCAATTTAAGCTCATTTCTTCAGAACTTTTGACAATTTGTTAAATATACGATCAATGTAATTACGTAAAAACAATCACAACTACAAAATAAAAATAAGTTTGTATTTGGCTAATATATAATCATTATCATTAATCTTATAATAACCGAATGCCATCTCAAGTCCTTTTTAACAATCTTTCTTCTACTAGAAAGATTCTCTTCATCAGTTTCTGAAATTTCAGGTGAGTGGTATGCAGAGTTATCCTTGATCAGTAAAATCTCTTGATTTTCAAATAATTTAAGTAATAGATCATTGATTTCTACTAAATAATCAATAATATTGGCCCTATTTATTTGTTTCTACATATTATAGCATAATATATTATAATAAAATAAAATATTAAATATTAAATAATTAAAAAGGAAAGGATGGAATTTATTTACATCATTTCTTTGACTATTCATATGCTTTCATCTGGCATACTCATTTTGTTTAGTTGACGGTTGTTATTTACTTAAATATTTTTTGCATTTAGTTTTAGAATATTTGTAAATCATGTCATATACAATAACTTCTGAAACTGGAAATATATTCAAATCTAAAGCTTCCATAATAGCTGGAACTATTTTGCTGTTAATAAGATTTCATTAAAAATCAAATGTCTGTTCTAATTTTAATTAATTATGAATTGGCAATCTCTTAACAATCCAAAAAATTTGACACTAAATATAAAAGAATATTGTTAGTATGCAGTGAAAAAGAATAAATAAAAAATACTTACTCTTAAAGCTTCTCAGACATCATTAGGCAGATCATTGATAAAGAAATATCTAGGATTTCTATCACGATCCCATTGGCTGCAACTCTGGAACAGCGACTAGCTTCTATCATAATCCTATTGGCTGTGATTCTAAGATAATGATTAGCTTCTATCACGATCTCGTTAGCTGTGACTCTGAGGCAGTAATTGGCTTCTATCATGATCATGTTAGCTATGACTTTAAGATGGTGACTGACTTCTATCATAATCCTGTTAACTGCGACTCTGAGATAGTAAGCTAAAAGAACTAGATCTGAAAATTGAGCTTGAATAGCTTGATTAAATATGCGAATTTTCTGATCAATCATCATCTAAATTAATTATATTAGATTTTTCTTGTCGTGAAGCATTGCCTGTTTCTAGATTCATTATCTTTACTTTATCAATAGTCTTCATTTTATTATTTAAAAATGCTTTGAACATATTTTGAATCTCACTATCTTGTAAAAATAGGGTAACTTGATCTAATATATATAAATAATATTATATGATAAAAATACAATGTAAATATATATGCCAATAAAAATTAAAATTATCTTCAATTTATTTCCTTTTTCCTTCTCAAGATGTTCATATGACGAAGAATTACACAATGGCTATAAATATTATTACATAAATAAATTGAGCAAATATTATAATTTATAACTTGCCAGTTGTATCTCTCAAAAGAATGATGTTTATCACCATTTCTATTTATCTCTGTTTCTTCTTCTATCATGACTGCTATCTCTATTTTTTCTATCAAAAATACTTGAACGTCTCCTGTCACAATTTTCATAGTTATTACCTACACGACTTATATTGTAACTACTTCTTAAGTGAGACCCGTTTCTACTGTGTTCAAAATGAGGAGAAGTGTTTCTATCGCTGGTCCTACCATAAGTATTACGATTTATAATATAGTAGGAAGAGAATTTCTTTTAAGTCGTTCAAAATATTGTTCTTTTATATTACTAAAAAAAGTATGCAAAAAAGTATATCATAAAATAGCATATATACTATTGATGTATCTTTGACACTGAATAAACTTTGTATTACTACAATCAGCATATGTTATTTTATTTCCTGATCTTTCATAATTTTAAAACTATCTCATACCTTTTTAAGAAAATGAATCCATTAACAACATCAATACTTAAAAGAACTATAAAAGTTCGACCTAAAGTGTCGTATTATTGTAAAGTATATAACAGTATACTTTTTAATATGAGAACTAGAAAAAACCATGAAAATGAAGAGATTCAATTTTAAGAATCAGTTAACAAATGGATTAGCAAAGGTAAAAAAAAAAGAGGAATCAGCATCAACTTATCTTTCTGATTTTAGAAATCGTTCTAGACCTGAAATTAGTGAAGATATTTGTGAAAATGCTCATGAAAATAATGCTGTAATAATAGATGATGATCACAACTGATCTAAAGGAAAGGTTTTTATTAGAAAGCCTATTTGTATCAAAAGGAAATGAAGAAGATATGATCATTTTTATAATACTGATAATGATATTACTATTCTGGATGAAGTATTTGAGTAACATGTTTATTCAACTGGTGATAAAGAAGATTTATCCGATGACAAGAAAGGCTTTCTACCATCAAATAACTTAGATGATGATGAATGAGATTTAGAAGAATTCGAATTACTCTTAAGTGATGATAAATTATTTACAGCTTCTAGCTTCATTAATATTAACGATTTAGATCAGAATAAAATATAAATATAAATAATTCATGGATACTTCTCTGAATCTTCAAATATCAAGAAAGATTCAGACTTTCTGATGTTGCAATCAATTCATTAATCGGCTTCTTTAACCTTATTTTAAAAATATTAATTCAAACTGATTTAAAGAATTCCCATCAACTGCATATATAGCTAGAAAAATATTAGACATTAAAAAAAACTCAAAGTCCTTCACTACTTGTACTGATTGTAACAAACTTTACAACCTAACAGACATAATTCTAGGTGATAATATAAGATTAGGATTTAAATGTATTTATGTCAAATTTTTGAACCATTCAATGCAAAGTCAGCATAAATCTTATGATTCAGAATTGCTCGTGAAGGTTTAATAAATAATAGTTACAAATGGCATTCAAAATTATATACCTATTACCATGTTTAAAGACCTAATTAGCCGTAATGTATAAATGATTGGGATTTGAAGAACTTTTAAAAAAATGGGCTAATCGAGATGTTGTAACTGATATTATGTTAGATATTTACGATGGTAAAATTTGAAAGTCCTTTTTATTACACCAAAATAACCAAACATCCTGATTTTTCACATCTGAGACTGCAGATACTAATCTTAGAATAATGATTAATCTCAATTAGTTCTAATCTTTCAAATTATCAGTGTACAATTATAGCATGATATACAGTATAATTTGTAATCTTCGCTGAGACTTAAGATTTAAAAAAGAAAACATACTAATGCTTAGCCTTCTATTGAGATCAGATGAGATCAAATTATATAAAATCAATCATTACTTAGCTCTAATAATAGACAAGTTGCTGGAGTTTTGGGATAGTGTCAATTTACTAATTATTAATGATTATCTCACTGATAGGAATATCAAAATGGCCATAATTTGCTGCAGCAATGATATACCAGTTGCCAGAAAATTATGTTGTCATATATCTACATTAGTTGGATATTATAGGTATTACAAGAGGGCAAATGGTAAAGAAGAGAAAAAGTTGAATTTTAGAAGATTTGACGATATCGATAAGTGATACAAAATGAAAGATATTTCAGAATATCGCCGTAATACAATGATCTAAAAGCTTTAACAGATGAAAGAAGATCAGAAAAAACACGTGAGTCAGACTCACGTTTAGTGATCAGAGATGCTCTGCTTGCCGTATTTTGATTTAATCAGATTTCTAGTAGTAAACTTGATATATAACTTATTTCTAGAAATAGCGCATTGGATCGTAAAAAGATTATGAATAAAAGGTAAAAAAATTACAAAATCTGACCTTAAGTTAATGAAGAAAAGAGCAAGTAAAATTAAAGTTCCTTCTGATATTAGCTGAATTTCCTATAAGATTGCTACTGGAGAGAGTTTTCTGGTTACATTGCTGACTAATAGAAAACATTCATAATGATATATACAATCCCAATTATGTGGAATCTTATAGATGAAGATGATAACGAAATTTTGGCAAGTTTCGTTAAAGCATGCTTTCTATTAGTATCATGTATTATTAATAAAAATATATTAGATGAAGTGCATGCCTGATTGTTATTTGTTACCAAATCGATCGAAAATAATTATGAACCAGAATTCATCACTCCAAACATTCATCTCTCTCTTTATTTTACTGAATATTTTATAGATTACGGTCTGATATATTCATTCTGGTGTTATTCATTCAAAAGAATGAATGGTATTTTAGGTAAGTTGTATGCTGATTATTGTCAAAACTTTAATATTATATAAACTGATTATATTTTTAGGCTCCCTCTCAAATAGTCATCATCAGATCTAATTGGAATTACTATGAATTATCATGCAGAATTGGCAGCTCGATGACCTTTTATCTTTCCAATCAAACAATATGGTCTTGTTGAAGGTCTAGAGTTAATAAAGCTAAGGATAACTTTAGAAAGCTTGGCAGTTTATGATAATTTTAAATTTGATGAACTTTGGCGTTTTATGCAGATCTATAAGCTTGAAGTTAAAAATATAGCTACAGATGCTAAGCCTTTTTTCAAAGAGATGCTTACTTCTAAAAAAATTAATGTTAGTTTTCTAGTCAATATATACAACATTCTAATAGCCTATTATAATAATGCTTATAACATGGAATTTTTATCAATTGCAGATTCAGTTAATATTAGAAGTTCTGATCGTAGGATTGTTATTTATCCTTAAATAAATCAGTTCAGATGTATTTGAATCAGAGCTGAGATCTTTAGACAGCTGATGCATCTTGATATTTAAAGAATTCATTTATTTTTGCTAGATTCATGCAAGAAAACGGTTCAGTTGATGTATATCTGGAATAAATCCAGTACTTTTTTGAACATGAAGTTAATCTTCCAAATAGGAGACAAAGTCATGAACTAGCCTTTGTTAAATAGTATAAGCTAGCACCAAGTCATCATATAAGATTCTATTTCTAGATTAACAATAATGTTCAGATCTGCAACATAGAAATTTGGTCAAAAGGTTTTTATAATATTAGTAGGAATTGTATTATACCAGTTCATAATATACTTGATCGATTTATACCAAGTGAATACAAAATAGGTAAAAGGAATTCAGTTACATATATGACTATTATTCCAATCGCAAGAAAATTCAATATGTAATAATAGTCATATATATATATTATTTAATTTTATTAAATTAGTGATTTATTAATTTTATTAAGTTGATATTTTCTATTCAGCATATATACAAATTATCACAAATATATAAATAAATACCAATCAGGAAATTTCTATATTAACAATAAACATCATCTAAAAGCTAGTTCTTCTTATTTTTATATATTAGACTTTAAATAATGAATAAACTCCAACTGGTAGTTTGACATGTAACTGCTATATAAGTAAACACTGATATGAAACTTCAATATTAACATTAAATATCAATCAGCAATTTTCTGATTATATTCAATTTATGATAATATTCAGGTTACTTTTTATTTAACCATTTGAAGATTTTAGATTGGCCAATATATACCAATCAGTACAATTGCAGGTTAAACATCTTTCGACCTTGTTTTGCTTTTACATCTCCTGTAATTGTTTGATTTGCAGAAAGTGTTTGCATAAACCAATTGCTAAAGAATTTTTGATTTCAAGATAAGTAAATACATGAGTTTTTTTCTTAAATCATTAAATTCTGTATTAGTTTTAATCCATTTTTGTTTATCTCTTAAAATATCTGAAATAATATTTTGTTTAACTTCACATATTTTAGCAAGTTGTTTTTATATTAGTTGTAGTTTTTGTTTATATTTTAAACAAATTTTGCATTTTTGAGCAAATAATAATATAATATGAATACATTTAATAAGAATATCTTCTTTACTATTAGAAGTATTTCTTTTTTTGTAAAAAAGCCATTTGATAAAAATATTTAAAATTTTCAACACATTAAAATATAAATTTAAATTTAAAATACATAAAATACAAAGTTAATAAAATTAAATACCTTGTAATCATGATTATTAATTTTTTAAAAAA